TAAAGATGGACAAGAGGTCTGCAGGAGGGGTTGTTTCCCAGCAGGACTGGCCCCTAGCTGTCCTCAGCACTGTCTCTGTCCCTCATGCTGATGGCAGCTGCACGGATTGCAGTTCTACTTCATCTTGGCATCAAGAAAAACAAATAACCACACCAAGTAGCTGCATGTGCCCCAGACCCTCCTGACGGTGGAGTGATCAGCAAGGAGCATTCGGGGCGAGAGGGAAAATAAAAGCCAGGCTTTGGGGTGAGAAAGTGCTAGAGCCTCCTGGGCCTGGGGAGGAGGCTTCTGGTCAGGCCAGGGGCATCTTAGCCTGCCAGAGAGAAAAGGTGGTGGTGTGAACACCATAAGCCTGGGCACACTTTGCATTTCAAAGCAGAGAATAGACTTGTTAGGTATAAAGTAGAAATGGCTGCTCCTTAGTAAGAGAAAATGGGGGGGGGGAGAAAGGGAGAGAGGGAGGAAACAAATAGAGACAGCAAAATGGAAGGAGGCAGAGACACAGAGAGAGGCATAAAGAGGCACCCCACAACCCTGGGGAAGTGTTGCCAAGGGTGGCTTCAGTGCCTGGGAAGACGTGAAGCCTAGTTTGCCCGGCTGGCCTAGGGAAGGCCAAGGGAAGGCCGCGCACTGGCTTCCTCTCTCTTCTGCAACTGGCAGCAAAGCCCAGGCTGGGTTATTACCTCAGCGACTTTTGCCTCTCAGCCTCAAGGGACACTGTCCAGGCTGGAAAGCAGCAGGTGCCTTTTCCAACACAAATAAACCATAATCTCAGGTAGCAACGCTGATGTTAGAAAATGGGGAGTGAAGTCTGATGGGTTTCACTCAGACCAAAAGCCTGCAAGGGATCTGCATCTTTCAAGAGCCAGGCCCTGCCCCCCACCCCCACTCCGGCTTTAGGGCTGCAGGCCAGTCTGGGAGATTGCCAGCTGCAGAGATGTCCCCTGAAATACAGGTTTGGTGACTCTGACAGTGAATGCACTAATTCACAGGAGCATTGCTGTCCCTTTGCTATCCTTTGCCTCTCTGCAGTACTTGCTGGGAAGCAGGAGCACCCAGACAGGAGATGGAGCTGTAAGAAGCAAAGGAGACATTTCCCTGCAGAAGCCAAGTGCTCCCCTTCTGGCTTTCTTGGGGCCCCGGTTCCCTTTTTTTTTTTTTTTTTTTTTCAAATAAACTTCCAGAAAAGAGAGTAAACACAGGGGTTACAGGCATATTAGCATGGATGCTTTTATGTCATTCATATTGAAAGCCAGGGTGTGTTCTGGCAGCTACCTTGATGTCCCAGGAGAAAAATTTGATGGTTCACTAAGCACGAGTGTGAAGGGAGGGGCCCAAATATATAGGACACTGAGGTGCCATTGTGTTCCTGCAGCTTTTAGGAGCCCTGCTACGGGGTCCAGGTAGGGGTGGACATACCCCAGTCTCCTTGCTTATGTCCTGAGGGAGTCAGAGGCTCAGATGTTTCAATGACAAGGTCCCTTTTCCTGTTCGTGGGTCTCGCTCCCTGATGGTCCTGTTCACGCCTTGTCACCAGAAATATACCTTTATTCCACTCTCACCTGTTCTCCAACACCCTCTCACTCATCCAGTCTGAAAATGGCTTATCAAAATATTAATAACCAGATGAAAATCAAGGAAAAAGAAGCCCTTTTCCCATAGAGAGATAATACAGATTTGGGAACTGGATGTATTTCTACCATCCTGTTAAAACCATTTCCCTTCACCCCCAGGTGTGCTCTGCAGAACCTTGCCTGTTCCTGGGGGCTGAGTGTTCCTGGGGCAGAGCGGGGTGAAGAACACCCAAGCTGAGCACTGTCTATCTGGGTTTAGGTCCCAGTTTGATTTTCTTTCAGCCTTTCTTCTACCCTTGGGCAAAAATTTCAAAACTCTATGTTTCAGTTTCTTCATCTGCAAGACAGGTAGTTATACTACCATCTGAGAGGCATCCCATGAGGATTAAACCTTCCATAAGTGTTAGCTGTGAATCTAACCCCCTCGTAGGAAGACCAGATTTTACATTTCTTCTTAGGAAATGTATACAGTGAGTGATGGGCTTGTGGAAATGCAAACTTTTTCACTTGAGATGAGGGTTTGTGCATCTATCCACGAGGATCATCTGTTCTCATGTGCCCAGGACACTTCCAGATTAGCCAGTTTTTTGTTTTTTGTACAATTATTAATAGTACTTGCTTTCATGTGTGAAACTATGCTAGCTTGGGTGATGTATTACGTATTTGCCTACCAGTGTAGGACTGTGACTGAGAAGTGGCTCATAGCAAGCCTCTCACCCATCATCTGTGAGCTGTACCCAGGGACAACTCTAGAAGCCAAAGGAGCATGGAGAGATTAAGTCCCCCAGAAGAGGTGGTGATGGCTAGAAAACTGACCTTACCAAACTCTGGTCTTACAATCATGCAACACACAGAACATACAGTAGCAGAGGATTGTGGCAGAAACATTTGGCCATGTAGCCATATGCACCTTGACACTTCTCAAACTACTTGCTGATTAGTTAGGTATATAACCTAACTATTTGCCTAATTTGGGCCAACAGCAGTAAGTGGAACAAGTAATTACCACTCTGGAACAAGGCAAGAGCGGCTGCTCCCTGCCTTCCTTTCTTCCAGTTGCTGGGAGAACCTTATGTTGTAGCAGCAATAGAACCTGGGTTACCAAGCCAGCACTTGGAGGGAAGCCCTTGCCAACTGGCTTCACACTTTTAAGAGAGAAGGAAATGCTATTGGACTTTTGTTATTGTAGCACAACTTATTCTTTCCTAATACCGAAATGAACACTTGATATGAAAAGATTACATAAAAGGCCTATGCACTCTTTTAGGCCATAAAAACGCAGTGATCTCTTCTTGGTTTTTCTTTGACCATGCCATTTCATTTTGCAGTGTTTTGATCAATTCAAAGTGGTGCCAGATCCAAAGGCCCACCTGCTTTTTCTGCAGGATCTGCCAACAAACCTTAAGTCCTCAAAGAAGTCACTTATTATGTGCCAGAGGTACGGACTGTGACTGAGAAGTGACTTTAGATTCTTGTCATCTTAGAATGAAAAGCAGGATTCCAAATTTCCTGCCTTACTGAGTTCAGCTAAAGACTTGAATTTCCCCTGAAGACCAAAGTTTCTCAAAATAAGGGTTAAAACTGATTTATGGGTTATGAACTCAGTTATAAAGCAGAATTTTAGAAAATTAAGTAGACTTAGGCTAGGGATATAGCTCAGTTGGTAAAGTGCTTGCCTTGCATGTACAAAGCACTGGGTTCAATCCTCAGCACTACAATAAAATAAAAATAAAAAAAAATTAAGTAGACAAGAAAAAAATCTGAATGCATTATATATGGTGAGGATAGTGTTGTGTAAAACCTGTTTTCTTGGGTACATTGTGCTTCAGGCTACTGCCTATTTTTTCCTATGCATCACAGTGAAAATATCAGTAGTCCCTGCCGTACAGCATAACTCAGCAATGACCCTCATTTTCTTACAGAAGCTTTCATTTCTGCTTGCAGCGGACTGATGAAAGAAGTCACCAGGGAGGGCAGACTGTCCTATGCAAGTACTTCAGGGAGGCTACCTGGAAACTAGTAGAAAACCAATTTGTGGATGATTGCATGACCTGGGGATAGAAATCCATCAGGGGCAGTTTTAGGGATGGCAGCGGCTCAGCCCACTGCACCTCTCACCTGGGATGGAATTGGGTTCTCTGGAGCTGGCTCTGTGGCTCTGGCTGCAGATACATTCCTTTTCTCTGAAATGGAAGTAACCATGCCCTTGAATACTGCTGTTTTGGAAATATTTGAATTAAAAAAAAAAAAAGAAATTCTGTCCAATAAAGGATGAACCACAATGTTCCAGCAAGCAATGGCCTTTGATGGTGGCTTGATGGGTATGCTTTTCCTGGCATCGGTGGAGAATAGAAAGGCCCACACCCAGGGCATCAGAAAAGGTATATGTCGGGGCAGCTTTAAGGCAAGGGGCCTTTTTCTTCCATTTCTTGACAGGTCACTGGACTCCTGGTCCCTAGGCACAAGGGTGGCAGACTCTCCCTGGGGCTGTTGATTTTGGAGCAGTTCCAATACCCTCCTAGTGGGAAAGGAAGGAAGAGAAAGGAGGCGAGGTGCCTCTGAAGGGGAATTCAGAGGGTGGGAAGAAAGGAAGTTATGAAGAACATTGCTATAGGATCTGGGTTAAAGACTCTGGTAAGTAAAATGCCCCAAATTCAAAGTGTGCACTTAAAACCCTTCCAGTTTTTGAGAGAAGCCCTGGCCATTCTGCAGTTTCCCTTTTTAAAGCTCTTACCAAGGTAAGGAATGAAAACAATTGCTAATGCAAAGACGAAATTAAAAAATAAATATACTTAAATCTGCACAGGGCTTTAGTCCTATCGGAGGCCTCTGTGCCTCTCTCTGTGATTTTCTTTGGTGATAACACACTTCGAGAGGCTGTGGAATGTGGGCCAGGGAGAGGAGGGCCCCTAGCTGGGCCCCCCAATCCTGCCTGCTGACCACCCAGAGTGCTACAGGGCTCCTGTTCTGTCCAGGACTCTGAATCTGCCACAGCTGGGCCCTGGGGGTGGAGAGTTTTCACCAGGAGGCCTGTGACATCTGTTCTGTGCTCTGCGACAGACCACAGAGAAGATAAAGGCTAATCAGACCTTCACACGCATCGTAGATGCCTTTTCTGGACTGAGAAAAAAGAACGATGAAAAGCAAAACAAGACAAAAATATATTCATTAGAAAAGAAGAATGAAAGTCAAATGTGTGGAAGATGCAAGGTCGCTGGAGCCCTTCAGGGTTTCATTCAGGCAAAGGACTTTGAGGGTCTGGCCAAGGACCTGCTGGGTAATCCCACATCTGGTTCCCTGTCCACAGATTCCCTGCGCCTTTTCCAGTAGCATCACCGAGTTCTCCCACCTGCCCCCCCCCCCCCCAAGCTATTCTGCTATTTCCCCCCCCCCTTGGCTTTTGTCCCTGCAAACCCACACATGGCATAAGGTTGAATGAAGACATTTATTTGTAAAACCATTTCCCGACAGAGGAGAGATTGCATCGGTAGAAAGTAAACCAGCGGTCATTCAGAGGGCCACATGCACACATTAGTGAAACCAAGGGGAACCAGACAGACAGCACTGCTGCAGACGACCCGCGTGGCTACCAATCCCGCCAACAGAAAAGCAGAATGTCCTTTCCGCTGGAGGACACGGATTCACCGAGATGTTCTGTGAGAAGGCAGTTTGGTCTGACTTCCAGGTGGAAGTGGTCAGGGAACCAGTGGCGTAGCCTCTTCTCTATTCCACTTGGCCTGTTGGCTTCCCACAGATACCCGCCAAAGGCCTCCGTGGTCCTCCACCCTCCAGCGGGAGGGCGCAGCGTCAGATGCCCAGGCCTCCTCACATGCCCATCCTTATGCTCTGAATGATTTGAAAGATGGCTGAAAGAGGAAACCAAAACAGACGGCCCAGTCACCAGAGAGCACACGGCCAGAAACCCAACCCACAGCGCACCCTGCTTCTGCTGACCCCAGGGCCCTGGACGGGTTGGCCTACAGCTGATTAGATATTTCCTAACAAGGAGTTAAGTTAACAAGGGGTCAGTGAACTTCTTTCAAAAAGCAGCCTGGCTCTGTCTGCTGATGGATGCCTCTGGGATTTATAGATAACTCCTGCTAATTCCACCAGGAGCTAAGGCCAGAAACCCCTCCGGCGGGGAGAGGAGAATTGGCCCCTTCCCCAGCAATATTCTGCGGCTGGGCTTTGGAGCAGAAACTGCACTCATTAAACAGGTCAGTGAGTCTGCCTTTTCAAAATGGCCGTGACCTGTAAAATAACCAGCTCTGCAAAGGGAAGGAAGGCCAGGTGCTCCGAGCAGGCGCACAGCTGGGTCTCCGCTGCCCAAGCCTGTGCATCTCCTGGCTGCTGACCGAAAGGTGCTCTCACCCAAGGCAACGCTGACTCGGGCTACACTCAATCTTTACCAGCTGGGGTGGTTGGGAGGGGGGGCTGGAACCCACAGAGAACTTCTGGATCCTTTGCTTGTTAGGGGAGAACCAGATCGAAAGCTCCCAGCCTGGTTCTAGCTACTGGGTTTCAAATGAGAGAAGATCCCCATTTCTCTTTTAAATCTTCCCTAGTGTTCGACAGTGGTCAAGTTTGCTGCAGACTATGATAATGATGATAAGAACAACTACCCTGTAGTTAAATGTTGTTGTTATTATTATCTATAAGGAGGCTGGGTGTCATGTCACTTAATTACGTGTAAAAACAGAATAAACACTGAGCTCTCGGGAGTCTTACCACTCCTCTGTTTCAAAAGGTCATCCTGGAATATATCCAGGGACATAGCTTCTAAGTAACCACAGTGAAACAGGGCTTCCCAACCCTCGGGAAACGGCATTTGATAGTTTGTCGTCTTACGTTAGTGAGCACCTAGGCTAGTGTGTAGAAATTTGGATTCTGTAATTTTTGCATATTATAATAAGATACTACTTATGTTTCCTATAAGCTTTATTCATACATAAAGCCTGAAGATAAGTTTACAGAATATTTTAAATAATTTTATGCATGAAACTAAGCTTCATGGTGTTGAATTTTCCACTTGTGGCCTCATGTCAATGCTCAGAAAGTTCTAGATTTTGCATTTTTGGATTAGGAATGCTTAATCTGTAATAAGTGCTGAGAATTGGGGTTGAGGAATACAAAGAAAAATACAGACTCCTGGTCTTTCTTGGACAGCTTGATTTCAAGGGTAGACAAAACTCTAATGCATCTTTTTTGGCCATTTCTCATTTTCTAAAAGAAACACTGCATACATTACCACTGCCTTCCTAAACTGGAGATACCAGCCAGGGCATAGTGTTAACTTTTCATGAAAATTCAGTTTTGCCATAATCAAAACAATTGATAATATTCTGCTGTGATATTATTTTGGAGGACACACAGTGTTTGGTGCCCAAATAGCTCTGGATGGCAGTACTTCTGGGCTCTGGTTTCTATTATCATATTTTTTGTCTCCTTGTTCTTATCTCTGGTCACATCTCTGGTGTTACTACACTCCTCTGCAGTGGGCCCGCTTCTGTTATTTCATTGCTGCAGACTAAGCTTACACCAGGACCATTAGAATTAATGTGTAAAATTGAAATGACAGTTCCGTGTGGGCTGAGGGACTCTTCTGTAGATAAGGCGAATAAGTTGGTTCAATGACTTGTGATGTTTAATTCTAGCTGTGCTCAGCTCTTGGCTAAGTTTGTGTTCCTGAGTGGGTCTTCACAGGGGTAGCTGCTAGATGCATGAGAAAGTAGCCTACCAAAATTTGCAAGCTTGCAGAAATATCTGATGTTCTGTTCTCTACCGAGGCTGACGAGCAGCAAAGATTAAATAAGCGTCTGTATTCTGGTTCAGTGGGAATGCCAAGAAGCAGTTTTGTACTTTCAAAACATTAGGAAAAAAAATACATCTGCCATCCCTCAGACTTTGTTCTTGGGGTCAGGGAACCATCCTAATCTCAATAAACAAGATGACTTGAGAGAGGAATGTAAGGGTCAGATGGAAGAGCTACTACTGAAGAGCTGGTGACTGGACAAATAATTTAACTCTTTGAGGTTGTTTCCTCTTCTGAGACACTAGGATCATGGTCCTTGCAGGACTACCATAGGGATTAGGCAATATGACATATATGGAGGTTCCTTAAACACTAAAGATTCAGTGCATGGCCAGAGCTCTTGCTATTAATACCACAGGCTGAGCATCCCTTATCCAAAATGCTTGGGACCAGAAGTATTTCAGATTTCAGACTTTTTAAAACTTTAGAGTATTTGCATATGTATAATGAGATACAGTGGGGATGGAACCCAAGTCTAAACATGAAATTCATTTGTGTTTCACATTCACCATACACACAGGCTGAAGGTCATATTGTACAATATTTTTGGTGCACCTGCAGCCACTCATAACATGAGGTAAAGTGTAGAATTTTCTACTTGACACTCAAAAAGTTTCAGACCTTGGAGCATTTTGGATGTTGAATTTTTGGTTTAGAGATACTTGACCATGTGTAAACAGGAAGACCAGCTTTTTTTTTTTTTTTTTAGTTGTAGATGGACATAATACCTTTCTTTTGTTTTTATTTTTATGTGGTACCGGGGATCAACCCAAAACCTCACGCATGCTAGGCAAGTGCTCTACCACTGAGCCACAACCCTGGCCCCTGAAGACCAGCTCTTAACTGTCTAGCACTCTATAAAGTGTGAGCCTTAGGGAATTACCACAGTTCTGAGCCTTGTGTTCTCTGTTTATAAAACTGTGGAAAGTAAGTACCCCAAGGAATAAATATGATGACACAGGTATGTGGTCTGTTCACGCTAGATGCTCAAAAATGTTACCTCTCCCTTAATTTTGTCCTTAGACAAGAAACGGGCTGTAGGTTAAATAGGAACCAGCCTGTGTCTAAATCCATCATACTCCACATTGTTCATTCAAGACGTCAGAGGTTCTAGGTAATGATAAAGCCACTCAATTCTCTTTAAGGAACTGCTGCAAATCTCTCTAAAGAATCTTAGAGAAAATGTGCAAGTCTCAGAGTGAGTAGTGAGATGTCCATTAAAACAACTTACCTACCTCTTTGAGTCTGCTTTAAAAATTAAAGATAATTTTTGATTCTAACTGAATCCATAATGAGCATGTAAAAATCCAATGGTTTTTAATGTATTTATAGGTGACTCTTTAAAACTAACCCCTTTTGGAGAAATTGCTTTGAATGACAATGGACAGATGGTGGGCTTATTGTTCCTTTTTCCATTGTATCAATGTCTTGAAGAAGCTTTCCTCATTTTATACCAATTAATTAATTGTAATTCTGTGTGCCTGTCAATACTGACCTGCAGAGCAACCCTGGCCTTGTAAATGCTGACTTTCCGAGGCAGTGAAGGTTCAGGAAGGGAGCCAACAGTGAGTTCAAAGAGGGAAAGGAAGCCTGACAAGTTAATAACTTAACAGTGGGTGAACAAGCTGAGAAAACAGTGGAGCAGGCTTCAGGAGAGGGGCTGAGGGCAGCAGGACAGGAGGCAGGAGAGATGCCAAGGAAGGGAGGGACTGCAGACATTCCAGGCCAGGGGGCCAAGCCCTGGACAGGCCACACCCAGAGGTTCAGAAAAGTTCCCCAGGAGAGCAGAAACTACCAGAATGAACAAGCCTTTGCACCCATCCACCTGCATTTGGTTCCTGGCTCTGGGACGGGGAACTTAGGTGACTGCAGCTCAGGTTTCTTCAAGCTCTTAGCTTCAGCACCCTAGAACCACTCCCACCCCCAACTCGGACAAACCAGCACAGTCTGCCTGACCCGACAAGTCTCATCACTGAAGTGTTCTCTTGCCCTTCTCAACCACTGCTAAAGAGCTGTCCACACACTCTCACCTTCTATACCTTCTATTCCGGCCTCAGTCCTCCACATTCTAGCTTCTGTCTTTCACTCATTGAAATCTCGTTTCCTGCAGTCACAAGTCGTGACCTTGGCATCCCTCCTGTAACAGGCCTCCCTTAGCTTCGTCTGGCCTTACTCTCCTTCTGACTTGAGCGTTCCCTCCTGGAAGGTCCCCTCTGTCGTCTCTGGTTCTGGTGGTCCTCCTTTTCTCTGGGGTCACCTTCTCCACCTGGCCACAGAGCTTGAGCACTTAAGTTCCCTGGTGAGCCTCCCTGGTTTTCCTCGTTTCCTCACATTCTTCTTTCTTCCAAAGCGCCAGGTCCTGACCCACAGTGTCGGTGGCCACTCCACTGCTGATGCCTGACTCACGGACGTGCATTCCCAGCCCCTTCTCCTCTGAGCCCTAAACTCCCACCTTCTACCATCTAACTGCTGTCCTTACCAGGGTGGCTCAAAAGCACCTCAAACTCAACAGGATCTTTCTTCTCATGTTCTCTTCCACTGACAAAAGTGGTGCACTATCCTCCAACTTGTATGTAAACTGACCCTGACCAAGACCTGTGGATTTTACCTAAGAATCTTGGGATTATGTGCTCCCCTTTCCATCCCTGTAGATACCATCCAAGTCCAAGTTACTGACATCTTTCCCTAGACCCCTGTAATAACCTCCAGCTGGTCTGCCCTTGCTCCTCTCTTCAACAGTTTCTGCACACTGTGGTTAGAATTATTCTTTAAGTAAAAGCAAATTATATGATGTCACTTCTGTGTTTAAAGCACATCATAAGCTTCCTATTGCCCAGCCCTTGATGAGGCCTCCTTGACCTGAAGATTCTGGCCCCTGTCAACACCAGATTCATTTTGTACCACTCTTTCCACTTGCTTGGGGTTACTCCTTCATAAAGCTCCTTGGTCTTACCACAGGGCTTTAACACATGCCATTCTTTCTTTGAAAGACCTTCTTTCACCTACCCCACAGCCTAGCTTCTTTTGTAAGAAGGAAGAGAAGCCTTCTTAGGCCCCTTGAAGCAGAGGTTCTCAAACTTGAGCTTGCATCTCAATGTCCCTTGGGGCTATGTTAAATTTAAAAAATCAGATGCTACCCCCCACTGCTGGCCCCCGAGTTTATCATCCAATGGGGTCTGGGGTGGGGACTGACAATCTGTATTTCTAACAAGTTCACAGGAATGTTGAGGCTGTTGGTCTGGAGGTCACACTTAGAGAAGCACTTATTCAAAGGTATACCTTCACACTATATGCTTTCATAGATGTGTGCACCTCTCTTTCAAACACTCTCATAGCTAGATTTTTACATGGTTTGGGGGTAATGCCTTGATTAACTCATCTTTCTTTCCCACTAGACTAAACTGCGGGATAAGAGAGACCATATATGGCACAAAACAGATCCCTTGCAAATATCTATTGAATGAATGAAAGGTGAATAACTGCAAAGAGCACAGAGGAAAATACATTTTAAAAACCTCAAATGACTACTTTGCAAACCAAAAGAGTCAGCCTCAAATGGCTACCTTCAGACCAAATGTCCCAAGAGCTTAGTCCTTGGAGGAGAAGCCAAGTCATGACAGACTGTAAAGTCCTCAAAGCCTGTGACTATGTCATTCCAACCCAGTCCTACCCTGGAGACTGGCCTATCCCCCAGCTGCAAAGGCATGCCAGAAGGAAACAGGGATGACGTAACAAGTGGATCCCATAGGACACTGTCCGAAGCTGGGGCCCTGCCAGATAATGGGAGGCTTCATAAAGCCACTTTTATTGAAAATAAATAGTTGATGATAAAAGAGATCAAGGCAGTTACTGAGAAGAAAGATTAAGACAGACTAGTGGAATATCCTTTAGGAGGATAGGACAACCGTAAAAATCAAACTTTATTTTTCATTAAGAAAAAATGAAAACGATAAAAGAACTAGTAAAAAAAAAAAAAAAAAAAGTACAGGCTCCCTGAGAGACAGGCAGAAATGTTAGGAGACAGGCGTGGCAAACGTGGATCGTTAAAGCTCTCTGAGAGATCAGCACAAAGAAAATCAAAGGCAAGATAACATATTCTGGTGGCATTTCTTGGTAGCTTCTCCAGAGATGGAGGAAAGGGAATAAAGAGAGATGCCAGAGACAGGTTAGGGCAGGAAGATGTTATAAAATGCACCTACTATTAGCAAAGAATGGGATGCCTTCTATCCACATTAAAAATAGCGAAAACGTTCATCCAAGAAAGAAAGCCTACACAATCCTAAGTGCTCCACTGGGCACCAGGCAGAGGGTGGCACATCACAAGGAGGCTGCAGGTCACCTTGAGGAAGTCAATGGCTGGTGAGACGTCTTCTCTAGACTGTCCATCTTGGATCCTGAGGCAGGGCTCCAGGGCAGATGAATGGCCTCTGTCTTTCCTCCGGGGCTGTCCCGTTCCTCAAGCACCCCATTTGCTGGTTGCAGGAGGTGACTCCCTCTGGGGGGGTCACAGTTCCGAGAAAGTTCTGTCAGTCTCCAGGAAAGGCCAGTGTTTATGTGGTCAACCTGTGAACATGGTGGGTGAATTCAAGTCTGTCCTGGAGCAAGGGTCCAGAAAAAAGAGAGGGGAGTGGAGGTGCTGGTGGCCCAATCAAGACACAATCTATGGCTGGGATAAGGTTTCCTCCATCTGAGAGTAGACCTCGGATGGCTAGACATCTGGAACTTCTAGAAAAAGCACTTTTCTGGCAGAGGAAAATAGGGAATGTTTTAACAGGAGCTCTTTTTAATACACAGTCATATGCTAGAGGTCTAAAGTTAGTGGAAAACTTTTGCTCCATAGTACTTTTAAGGAAATAGTAAGAATGAGGGAATGTGGAAATAATAAGAAGCAGATGGGCTTTGGAGTCTTAGAAGAGCGAGGTCTGGGTACAAGCTCTCTCCTTCTTTAGCTCTAGATGTTGGCCGATTTCCTCTATAACCTTAGTTTTATGGTCTGGAAAAGAGTGTAACAGCCTCTTTGTAAGGATTGTATGACTGGAATAAAACATGGCCTGGCCTTACAAAAGCAAGTCCCCAAGACACAGCAGCCAAAACAGTATGACTGACTCTTGCTCACACCCGTGGGCTAGTTTACAGAGTTCTTTCTAGAAATAAAGAAGAGGTTTTGGCTATCCCTGTGAAGGTGACACCACTGATCCTCTGGTTTACAGGCAGCTGGTCTGGACTCAGGGAGGTCCCTCAACATCCTGGAGTTATGCCCCCAACCACGTGCTGTCTCACCACCACACAGCAAAGGTAGGCACGTTCCCTTCTTTCCCTCTAAGTGCTCAGAATCTTGGTCAGAACATTTTCATGGAGGTAGGAAGGTAGGGAGGCAGTGAAGGAAAGGCCACATACATCTCCATGGTAAGGGCAAACATTCAAAAGACCCTCAGCATGACTCGATTCACCACTTCACAGGTTAAATACTAACCCTCAGGATTAACAGTCATGAGGACCCCAAGAGTTGGGAACCAGTCCCCTCCTCTCTAGAGCATGGCAGAGCTGAGGTTCAGAGTGGGCCTAAGTAACTTGGACCAGGCCACACAGCGGGTAAGTAGGTAGCAGAAACAAATTCCAGCCCAGGCAGTCTGGCCCTGGAGTTGGAGTTCTTAGCCACCTTCTAACTTCTCTCATGACACATGGACATGCTCACTTGATGGCTTTGAACCAACACATCCCCAAAGAGAGACCTTCCTCCATTGTGTGTTCCTGGAAGATTTCAGAGAGCTGGCAGCTGTTCACAAAGGAAATATTCTCAGCGGTTACAAATGGTTCTATTCTGCCTTCTCAACCATGGGCTCAAAGATAATCACCATAAAAAACTGGTGTCCACCTAAGGGCCACACAAGGAGTGAGGGACAGAGAGCATGGGAAGAAATGGCCCTCTGGCCTCCCCTGTGTCTCTGGCACACTCATGACTTGTGACTCCACATCATCCTTAACAAAAAATAGCCAATCTTCAGGAGGGTGAGGGTGTAGCCCTTTCAGAAACCAAGGGCAGGGGTCCCTCCTTGGCATCCGGGAAAGGAGGGAGCTGGACCACCTGATGTAGGAGGCTGAGCAGGAGGAGCTCAGTCCTGCAAAACATCTCAGAGAATCACTTCTTCACATCTGTTCCGAAAAGGTTGTCCTGAACACGGGCCTGCCTGTGACATGATATCTGTCTCTACCAACCCCAGCTCCTGCAGGCAGAGTCCCTGGAGAGCACAGGAGGAGAGTACAGTCTGTTAACTGACAGACAAAAGAATGTCCCCACCCAGAAAGAGTGGAGCTGATCAGGATGGATAGCCCCAAACAAACCCAGCAGGTTCTTTGCCAGAAAGGCTTCACTTTGTCATGACAAAGGCCAGACCCAGTTTTCTACTTGATGGGCAAGAAGGTGCAGATGGGTGCTCCTTGGTGCAGATGAGAATGTCAGAATATCCAGCCACACAAGGACATACACCCCACACACACATACACACACAGACACCCCACTTCAACCACCACAGCTGCTCTTTAATTTGTTCCCCTTTAAGATTTGAACTAAATGTTCTTCAGCTTTAAAAAGCAAAAAAAAAAAAAAAAAAAAAAAAGACTAAAAACCACTCACCCAGGTTTTTTTTTGTTCTTAAAAAAGCACTTAATTTTTTTTCTCTGGTTATAAAAGTAATATATGCTCGTTGACAAATCTGTACTGTACAATAGGGAAAATGATGAAGAAAATAATGGTCACTAGATAATTCTGTCACCTGGGAGGTTTCCCTTTGATGGGGAAGCTTGTTAGTTTTCAAGAATACCCTGGCTTTGGGAACCATAAAAATTCTCATAATCTCTAATTAGAAAAAAGAATATCAGGGTTGGCCAGAGAGGAGAAATAGAATTAAAATCAGGAATACATGGGGGAGAAATAACCTGAGGGAGAACTAGGGCTCGGCTGGTGTTTAACATATTCCCCCGGAGAATCCAAGGATGACGGGACTTAAATGGTGGCTCCCTTGATCCCAGCTGAAACCTTAATTGAGGCGTAAGGACAGAGGAAGATATAATCATGTGGCAAAGACAGTGTCTCAGATGGCTGCTCCCTGTCCACATACAGTATCCCTGCAAGGGCTCAGAGGACACAAGAGTACTGAGGGACCACCAGAAACATGCATATGCTGCCTGTAAATGACAAGATTGTCTGAACAGCAGATTAAGGAAAAGACCTAATTTCACCAAGTCCAGTGGGCATTCCGCTCAAAAAGAAAAGGTGAAAGCACCTAAGGAGTTGGTCTGTGAGTACCAAGGCTCTAACATAAAGTGTTTAGGCAATGGATAGCAAAGGGGTGGAAGGGGCCCTTCCGACCGTACGCGATCGTGGCAGAGGTTACTGATCAACCGCTCCCCACTTTCCCATTGAGTCTTGGTGTGGCCTGAGAATCCACCTCAATAAGGCCTCCAGGAGGACCACAGGGAGAGGGGGCGGGGAAAACCGCAGGAGTTAGGGCTTGGGGTACAAACAGTAGTTCACTGATGGCCTGGGGAAGACAGCAGTTGGTGTATGTGTGACAGTATCTTTGCAAGGAACAGTCTCGGACAGACATTCCAGATCTTGCTTGTCTCTGAGTCTCAAGATAAAAGCAAGCACCCTTCAGAAACTACCCAACCGTTCTCCAAAGGGTAGGTTTTGAAACCTGGGACTGACAGTCAGGGGGAGCTGCTTATCTGGGGAGAGGCTCTGCTGCCTGCAGAAACAGAAGATAATCCTTTCATCACAAGAGAAGAGAAAATGGGCAAAATTTCTTAAGGAGGCACTTAAATTCCTCGGAGTTCTCTGTGGATCTGGATTTCAGGAGATCAAGTAGAGGCAAATCCAGTCAGTTCAACAGGCTCAACCAAAGCAAAATCCCGGGTTAAGAGAGCAGGCACTTGATTGAGAAAGAGGTTTTACATTTAAAACTGACCACTAAATTAAACAAAATGCAACAGAACAAGATATGGCTCCCAGATATTCTGATTGGACATGGCACATCTCAAGAATATTCTGTTCCCACTGTTTTGCATCTAACAAAGAAAATATCTATACAAAACAGCTGCATGTTAGGGTTGCTTTAAGGAAATGAAACCCACATTTTATTTTTGATGCTCAACTTAAAGTACAAATGCAATTCTCTGATTTTCATCTGCATGTGGGTGCTTCCTTCTTTCTGTGTGGGGAGGATGCCGGAGTTCATTATATGGAGTAAATAGTGCTATCACTGAATGCCTTGGAGTGAAGAGACAGACCTATGGCTTCTGACAGATCAAGCCCATTGTTTAAGGCTGGTTCTACCAATCAAGGGCACAGCCTGGGAGGATGGAAGGTACCCCAATGTGCAACCAACAGTCTTTGGAGTCTCCATTTTCCACAAGGACTAAGAAGACAGAGGTGGTAACTGTAGCTACAGGTTTTAAGTTTGTGATGGGCCTATACTTTAGATCCCACAAACCGTTCAATGCCTGACAGCCTTTGTGGGGCTTCTTATCTCCATTTTCTTGATAAGAAAAATCAGTACCAAGAGGATTTGTAAATAACTTGTCCAAGGTCATTCAGCTGACAGTAAATCCAGCTTTGAACCCAAATCTGGCAGATTCCAAAAGTATCCTTCCTGCTGAGGCCTCTTATCCCACTAGTGCCAATTGGTTAGAGAAGCGTCTTGCCTGAGAGAGCTTTTGCAATCAGGGAAAGTGGAAATTTACTTACTCAGAAGAGGGCATAGTTAAGATAACCTCACTAAACCCCCTCTCTCCAGGGTAATGCATTAGAGGCCAAGCATTGGAGCTAGAAGGAAGAGGAGGACTAGCTGGATTCAGAAGTGGGGGCCATGGGCAGCCCCAGGAGGTCTGAAACTCCATCTGTTTTCTCAGCCAGGGGATGGCCTTCCTGGGTGCATGTTTGTGCCAGAGGTCTCTGAGTGCCTGGACTCTGTCCCCTCACTGTTCTCCTGATTTTTCTTCCTTTTCATAACCTTGCCCTCTTTTCAGCACCATTGGCATGAAAGGCATGTGCAGAGAACAATGCAGGCCGCAAAAAAGAAGCTGAGAAGCCAAGGCCAAAAGAGGGTTGGCAGCATGTGACTCTTCTTAACAAAAGGTTCGACAGACTTTTTACAGGCTTGTTAATCTGTTTTTCCATTTAAAATGAAGTAAGAGTGACCAATAAGTGGACATATTCTTAAGTGCCAACTTCTGTCAGTCTTAATTCTCTACCAGAATATAGCAAGAAAAATAGAGAAAAATGTGCATTTCTTACTACTTGCCTGACCTGAATATTTATTTACCCCAGGCACACTGGCACTATTTCTAGAAAGAGCACTTTACCCAGCCAATCACCAATTAGAAAAAGTGGGTTAATAGAGTAAGGTAATGAAAGCCACGAGACTTCCCAGAGATTTCGATCAATGATCGACATCTTCATTCATATCAGATTTCATTTTTTAATTCTGTGTCTAGGAAAATATTCAGAATAAGAGTAATCACATGAGCTCAAAGAAGGCAATATGACCTCCAAGATGTCATTAGAACTTGGTGAGATGGAACATTCGCCTGGCATAGGACAGTATCATGCCCAAAGGAGAGAGAGCAGATGGAAAGGGACAGGAAGGAGTGTTGGTCTTCAGGGACGTGGGGATCCCCCCCAAGAAGCTCCAGTGCACTTTGTGTGAGCCTGGCAGGTAAGAGCAGGATTAGTGTGCTTATTGTAGACGGTCAGGTCACACAGGTGTGGGAGGGAGCAGATCGTTCCTACTTTGGATGACAGAAGTGTAATGGAGGCCAGACACCCCCAAGAGGAGGGCTTCAAGCTGCTTAGTGCTTACAGGCAGCCTCATTAGCTAAAGCAGAGTAGCTGCTACATGGTAGGACTTGAGGAAATTGCATTCTTTAAAATGTAGAGAAAAGATGGGTAGGAGCTTGTGGACTGTGACTCCCCCTAAAGGAGTAGGCTTTGCAAGATGAAATGAACTGTGACTAATCCCAGAGAGGTGGCAACTGGGAGAGATCTAAAGGAGCTATTGTGTTTTTCATGACATGTTCTGTTTTGAAAAGGACAAGTGTACAAAGATAGAAGGAAGGGCACAGTACCAAGGACAAACTGATAAGAGTGACACATTTCTGTGAGAACGATGCCCAACTTAAGCCGAGGCTTGCAAAAAAAAAAAAAAAAAAGCTCTAGCAAAAAAGAAAAAAGGGCAGAGGTAGATTATTTTTTCATTAAGATTTGAAAAGGAATGAGGCCCAGGCTTAGGGATCAAGGTGGTGTGTTTAAAGCGAGTAGTGAAAGTAAGACAATTCGACTCCTGTTTATGTCTAGTCCCTCTGAAAAGCAAAATGGTCTTCTAACTAGAAGGGCTTAAAGAAGCACTGTTAAAAGTACAGGTGTAGCCCCATGGTAAAGCGCTTCTCTAGCACTCACAGGGACTTGGGTTCCCAGTACTGAAAAAATAAAATATAATAAAGCACTGGGCAGTAAGGGAGGGGTGTGGACAATCAATAGGTGGGATCTCCTCTTAGCCACTTCAGTCCAAATCTCCAGCCCTGAAGCCTCACATCCCAAGGTCCATGCAAACCTAAGGAGGGGATATCAGAGCCAATGTACTTGATCCCTGAGAGACTTCTAGAAGAGTTCCAGAAAATTGTTATCAGCAAATGTACCAATTTACCCAAGAAAGAAAGATGTAATTCTGCTAGAAAAATTGTAAGGCCATATAATTTAAAGAAGTTCCGTAAGCCTTTTGAAAAAGAAGAGATGGATTTTGAAAACTAGCATGGATTTTGAGAAAGAAGCAAGACAAAAAGGCTCTGCTGGCATTGTGCCTTATAGGGCCTCCTAAGAGGGCAGACTGGGGAAGGCTTCATAGAGTTACTAGGTATCTTGAAACCAAAAATGACACAACTATTGGCTCTGTATCTCTTTAGATTGAGGACAACAGGGACATGTGATCACCACGATCCCCAGGCTTAGCTATCCGGCGACTGGGTTTCCTACTTTCCTGGCCTGGCCTGCCATCAAACCTCTGTGCTGGCACCACTTCAGCTTCCCTTCTTTGGAATCTCTCTTCCCACCCGCTTTGTCTGGTTGGTTGTTCCAAAACTCAACTCAAACAGCACCTCCTCTAGGAAGCTTTCTCTTTGGGCCCCCCAAGAGGCAGAAGTCCCTTATCCAAATAGGCCAAGCACTAGGGTCACTATCTGGTGCTGTCTCCCTGGGCTGCACCTGACAGCTCCCTTCTCTGCCTCTCCAGGCACCTGCAAGCTCCCAAGGAGGGGATTTGCATTTCCAAAGCCCAGCACGGTGCCAGGCACCCAGCAGACCCTAAAGACATGGCAATTGTTTGAATGAGTTTTACTTAAGGTTCAAAGTCAACCAGAAAGAGATTGTGTCCCCTGGACTTCTCTGAGTCCAGACTTTTCTTTAGTGATATGGAGGTCTGATATTCTTTCAGAGGCTATAAAACTGGGAGAGAGAAGAATAATTAGATAAAAGGCTCAAGGTTCACAAGCTATGTACAGACTGGTCATAAAACCTAAAAACAGAGATAACTTTTTATATTGTTTTTTTTTTTTTAATTTTCCTGTGGCATGCTAAAGGGACAGGGATTTTTTTTGGGGGGGGGTGAAAAGTCAGAGAGAAATGGGAAGCAATACCTCACAGCTGATTACATAGGTACTGATGAAAAGGCTGCATTAAATTACCACATTCCTTGTCATTTTGTCCAGTGATATCAGCTATGTATTGTTAATGGTGGATAATACAATGACTATATCATGTAATGTCACCAGTCATACTGCATATTATAAGGTAATATTAGTAAGCCGTTTGTTATGCATGCTTGTTTATGTTTCCAAACTTTATGGACATTCTGTGGAAAGACAACTGACAGTTAACAATAACTTTTTATCAGAAATAATTATGAAGCTTTACATTAGGTCTCAAAAAAAGTGAACTAGTTATCCATCAGTCTGTAGCACCCACTTTATGGCAAATACTATCCTAGGATCAACAAACTTAGTATAATGTAAATACTGCCTTTGTGTATGAGGGGATGGATAATAATTAAGTAAATGACATAATTTCAAATGCTGATGATGGCCATAAGGAAAAAAAATATATATATATATAGGGGAGACCTTGGGACAAGGAGATACACATAGACATAGATGCATCTTTGATATTTGCAGCAAGTTTTTGTGAGGAAGAGCTGAGTGGGACTTAGTTGACTGATAAGGGCCATTAAAAAAAAATGACAGTTAAAAAAAGTAGGTCTCGGTTACATTAATAGAAGCAGAGTGGTGAAATCCTGAGTTATGACAATGCTAGGTCTCTGTGGCAATTACACTACTTCTAGACCACCTTCTGCCAATGCTATACTTTGAGAGAGTCATTGAACATATCTGGGGGCGGGTGGTGGTGTTCAGAAACCACATCTTACGAGGCAAGGTTGAGAGAACCAGGAATTTAGTCTGCAGAAGGAACCACGAGGCAGACATTTTCAAAATAGCTGAAGATCCAAGATGTCCAGAAGAGAATGAGTCCATTCTGTGTTATTCTAGGATCCAAATCCAAAATACTTAGAAGACAATATAGTGTAGTTCAAAAACAGGGGAGATGTTTCTAGTAGAATTAGTAGGCATGGAATTGCTTTTTGAAGAAGTGAACACCCCATTTCCAGAAGTATTCAGAGATCGGGTCAATAACTATTAAAAAGAGTGATGAGGGATTCCTACATTGAGCAAAGGATTTCCTTCAAGGACATAGCTTGGGAATGAGGTAGAGCTTTATTTCTTTGAGTGAATGATTTTCTCATCATGGAATGGCAAGTCCACTTTAAAATATTTCAACTACAATCAACAATAACACCAAGTACTTTAGATCCCTCCTTCCTCTTAAGAGCTTTGGTTTCCTTTGAAAAGTGGTGTCCTGAAGATGAAGGAACTGATAGGTTGTTTGTGATGGGCTTTTTTGTCTTTGGGATGTCTTGGCGGAGGCCTGAGCCTATGCTGGGAGACCTGGAATTCTCACCTTCTTTGTCCTTAGCAACTGAGAGATGATGGAAGGGATGGGGATCCTGAAAGCATGCCCCATGTTTAGAAGTGACCTCCACATACCAGAATTACAGAGACCCAACATACGGGGATTAGGAGCCATGCTGAACCCCCACTAACAACATGTAACTAGGAACACTGCATGATGCTTTCACTCATCTCCACTGGGAGTCCTGTAAGTTCAGCTCTCTGCACTTGCCACCTTCCAGTGGCAAGTGACCTGCATTTTATGGCTCAGGTCGAAGGCTCAGTTCTATCCAGGGGATCTACAGAACTCTCATAAGGCAGCCACCTCCCCCGCTCTTTGGAATGCGGACTTATCTTGGTATTCCACTTTTTGTTCCACATGCTCTTTCTCAGGCTATGTCTACAGAGTGAGTTAACTGAACTCTTTCGTGCATAGAGTCAACTTAATTGCTCAGTGTAATTATTTTATGATTATGTTTGATAGTGTAACAGTTCTATCTTTACCCATATTTGGAATAGAATCTAAACAAAGATTAAGGCTTAAGGCAGTGATTAACTTCAATCCCAGACCAAATTATTTTTTATTTACTTGGTGAATAAAACATTTTGAAGGACAGTGGAGAACATGGGATATAAATTCAGTGAAATACCATACCTGAGCCACAGACAACAAAAACGAACAGTGCCAATAGCCATGGTCCTACAGGATATTTCTCTTCTTGCGGCCTCTATGAGAGAATGGGAAAAAGTAAAATTAGGTTTATTGATTACATAAACACTTATTGAGAACTACTAGGCATTGAGCTAGGTGCTGGGGATTCTACTGTGAATGAGACAGATTTGGTCTCACTCTTTCTTATTGACAGATATAGATGAATAAAGTTAATTATAAAGGATTGAGATAGGTTTGAAAAAATTTATCCACAACCTATTAATACCCATGTAACTCAATGAACTTGGTAGTTTTCAATTTTAGGCACAGATGGGGCACAAATACAAACTAATACAGAGGTTTTGGAGATGATATTGATAATTGCTTCCATTTTTAAAAGCACATTCCGTGCCAAGCACCAATAGGCAGTCCACATCTATAATCTCCATCATGCACATCTCACTCAGTATAAAGCAAGTATGATGATGATTTCCACTTTGTAATTGAGAAACTGAGGTTCAAAGTTTGTTAACCTGAGCAAGAGCTGATATATAATTCTTTACAGAGCCTTGGTGTTTTACTCTCTAGATTTTTAGCTCTCCTGCACCTGTGTAGCCGAAACAGGATCAGAGGGCACAGGCATTTTCTCAAACCCTTTCATATGTTAAGTTTTTGAAAGTCAGTGCAGTAGAAATCCTTGGAATAACCAAAGCATCCAGCAACAGTGGATGGATGTGAGGGAAACAGCATGCTGGAATAACCGCCACTCAGCCTTACTGAAGCTTGAACTTTGGAGAAATCTCTGCATTCTCTGGCAAAAGAAAGCCACTGCTTTATCTGCAGGAACACAATCCTACCTACCTCCTGGGGTCTTCTCAAACCAAGAGCACAGTGGTAATCAGAATGTCCCACTAGGTCTATTTTTAAGTGGTCCTTAAAACCAAACCAGTCAATGGAACAAGCACATTTTCTGGTGAAGCATCAGAAAAACCAATGACTTAGCAAATAAAAAGGGAGAAGAAAGAATGAAAAACAGCAAAGGATTCACTATTCCCTCATTAGGTTGAGCAGAAGATAAGCTGTAATCAATATAAGTTAAATAACACACATACCCCTCACAGGGCAGGGAGAAACATACTGGTAGAGTAAATATATTGACAAAACATTTACTGGTGGTGGAAATCACAAAATACAATTTTGGATTTTGATTAAATGTGTTGACATTTTAAAATATAATCAACTTTATAGAATTTGGGCTAAAAGTTTCATATGTGATTTTCATATGAAAATCACAGCTACACATTTACACACACTGAAGGTATATCAGTATTTTTTTTAAAAATGAGCAGTGCTGTCATCAAGGATGAAATTTTGGGATATGCTAAACAAGTTTTAGTAATGTTTCTAACAAAGAAAGTACAATCTTCCTTTGATTTTCATTGTAGTGACCTTCCTGTAAAATTCATTATTGTTAAAACTGGAAAACACAGGTTGCATTTGTACATAATATGGAGTTATGTTCTAGGTTCATGTAAATAAAAACTTTCAACTTTTAAAAAGAATTCCCTCATTTTATTATGAATCAGGCAACAATTTGTTCTCAGTTTTCCTGTTACATTCTAAGCCTTTCCTCTTCTGCTTCACCAGTCACTTGTATGGCCATGAACTTTTTTCTTGACAGTACATATAATCATTACATATGATCATTTATAGCGTTTTATTTATTTCTGTTACTATGTGTTTAATCTGTCTCTTCACTAAACTGGAGGCCCCACCTGGGCAGGCTTTGTGTCTCTTTCAGGTATTAAAGTGTAGCAAAGCCTGGCACAAAATTTAAATGTAGCAGATAACACATGTTCTTAGGAGAATCAATAAGCATACAATTTCATTTTAGGAAGAATAAAGTACAGATCTAGGAAACATCTTATTTTTGTATTAGTATTTTTTTTATTGGGGCGGGGGAGGATATACCAGGGATTGAACTCAGGGGCACTCAACCACTGTGCCACATCCCCAGCCCTATTTTGTATTTTACTTAAAGACAGGGTCTCACTGAGTTGCTTAATGCCTCACTTTTGCTGAGGCTGGCTTTGAACTTGTGATCCTCCTATTCTCAGCCTCCCAAGCTGCTGTTGACCACTACAGGTGTGCACCACCGCACCTGGCTGTATTAGTACTTCTTAAAGGAGAAAGGGTTATCCCTCCATTTCTCTTAGTAGAAAGGTATATTTGTCAATGATCAAGGAATAAAGCCATTCAATCTCTGTTCTTGATAAGCCTGTACCTATCCTCAGTTACACTTGTACCTACCCTCACCTTACTTAGTCACACTGCAAGGGAATAATAGGCTGTTGCTCTTGACCAGACAAGGACAAAAATCAGTCTATGAATTGTGTAAGATAACTTTATTTGTGTCAGTCTTCAGTACTAAAGACCAGGTCAAGCTCAGATTAAGTAAATAATGCAGATATTAATAAAGTTACTGGAACAAAGTGTGACATTTACCCTTCTCTGCCCTCCAAATAATTTGTCATAGTTAGTCATTTTAGCTCTATTTCCAGGAAAGTCAACAAGTGAATTCAGGAGCCAGTAAATGAATTATTGGTCTAGCATAGATATCAAGCGGAATGTTTTGTTTTTTTACTTGCAAACAAATACAAATTATCAGCATGTAGAGCTTGAAGCACATGACACAAAAACTTTTCTGAGGATATTCTCTAGTGAATCAATATTATTTTGGGACTTTCAGAGCTCATGAATACCTGGCTGTTCATAATACTGATACATCCATATCTGAGAGCTTTGGGTTTCTATTGTTTGGAAAGAGCCAGTGCAATCCCAATGGGACGACTCACATAAACCTGAATCTATTGCTGGGAAAGGAATGGGAACAATAGCAATTCTGCAATTGACAGGGTTCACTTCAAACATGAGGCTCAAAAATGTCAGGGGATGGCTTTCCCTGTATTAAGATACTGGCAAGGCAACTGGAACTCTGTAATTTAAATTTCCCTCCCATTCTGGAGGAGTTACTACTATACAATCACAAAATGAGTATTCTATTTTTCTGTTTCTTTATTAATCTGCTATCTGGGAGGAAAAAATATTAATTTGCCCCATAGCTGCCAGCTAATAATGATACTGAAGGTCTACATACAATTAAAGGGGAAGTTTGAATTTTCATTTGGAATCCCTAAATATGTTCCCATTTACTGAATTTCATATTGAATAAGTTGTCTTCTGCAAGTTACTTCTATCAAAGTATAATCATATTGGACTTGTAATTGAGAAAATGAGATTTAGGATTTATAGAGATTCTTTTTGAAAGAGAATTTCATTTTTCTTTTTGGATGCTGACCCATTTACAGTAAAGTTAACCAAAAGTCTCTCCAACCAATTGAAAACAAACATTTATTGTCGCTTGTTTGGAAACCTTTCATTACAAATTTAGTTGGGCCATTTAAAAACCCTCATAGGCGCCAGGCACTTTCAGAGCCCCCCCGCCACCCCGTGCTATATCAGAACCTATTAAATACACTCATATTGCACATTAAACATAATTTAAATGTAGCTCTGAAATTTGAGTTGAGTTGAATTGCAGGTGACTGGTTACATTTACTAGATATTTAAACAGCGTTTTCCCAATTTCCCCATTTTCTTTTCTTATTTAAGAGCCAAATTTTTTGTTATAGATCCCAAACATTTTTTAGTGGTCTTGAAAACGGCTAGAGGTGGCAGACACAGAGTCTACCAAGCTTAATGGATAAAACAGCCGTGCAAATTAGTCTTACTTTGCTCTTATTTTGCAGTCAGATAAGTTGTCAACTGAGATCAATTAACAACTGAACTCTGGTTCCTTCAATCATTATAAAGAGCCACACATCTAGATATTTTCACTGTGTCAGCAAGTAGGTCTGATACTTTGAGAAGGAAAATTTGATCTCCTAGGAACACAGAACCATGTGTGCTGTAATATCAATCAAAATTCGTTTTTCAATGTCAATTTGTGCCACAACTTTCATTTTTTTTTAGTAAAAGTAAATAGGGAAAACATAGATCTACATGAAAAATGGTTCCAATTTGATGGCACACTGGCATTTTGGTGCCCTAATCACAGCTAAGTTATGTAATACCCAAGTAAGAGAATTTTAAGGATCACTGAAGCCTCAGATTGTACATAAAGCTCTGAGTAGAGTTTGAACCTCAGAGTTCTCTATGACAATACTTCTTGGTTTTGCAAGAATTCAGTGTGATGATTGCAGATTCAGCTTTTTGCTCAGTTAATCAAACCAACGTAATTTCTTTGTCTAAAAGGAATTGCCTCATCAAGTCTGCAAGCGTTTCCAGCCAAACCCCAAGCTTCAGCTGGACTTCCACTCAAACTGGATGGGATAATGGATTCCAGGTGCCTTTGCTCAGACTTGGAGACCAACTCTGTCCAGCAAACATCCATTTCATGCCTCTGTCCAAAAGATACACAGGCCTGGCGTCTTCCGTTGAAAGCAATCTGCTTTACCAAGTTAAATCCTCATGCATAAGGCACAGGTTTTACTTTAGATTTCGGTTGTAAAGCTTTCATCTACAGCTCTGGGAGCACAGAACCACTGGCAATAAACTGGTCTTTAAAGGTTACACCATCAGAATTAGCCTGAATTCACAGGGCAAACAAGAGTAATGTTGCACTTAAACTTCAGCCTGGCGGCAGCAGGGAACCCCCCCCC